GGATTCCATAACATAGGACCACTTCATAACAAAGCTCTTCGAACAAAATCTTAACAAAGCTATAAATCAAAGCAGCTAACATGTGACAGACTCATCAATGCCATTGGCTCTGGAGAACGGATTTCCTTGTCCAAGCTGGCAATAACCCACTTGGAACGGACTTCAAGACCCATACGCATTGCCGTGGACATCTCGATATGGCTGTTCCAGGTGCAGGCCGGTCGAGGTGGGCGAAATCCAGAGCTGCGGACTCTGTTCTACAGACTATTGAAGTTCCTAGCGCTGCCTATCCATCCACTATTTGTTTATGATGGAAAGGACAAACCGCCCTTCAAAAGAGGCAAGGCAGTCTCTGGTCGCAGCTACGGGAACGCGCCGATCATCCGACTTTCGAAGGTTCTGATCGACCTGTTCAAGTTTCCTCGACACGATGCTCCAGGTGAGGCTGAAGCAGAATGTGCGAGATTGCAGAGAGCAGGTGTCGTCGATGCCGTCATGAGCAACGATGTTGACGCCTTGATGTTTGGCTCGACCCTGACCGTTATGAACTTCTCTAAGGAGAGTGGCAGTGGCACCTCCGCAGCCACGCATATTACCTGCTACAGAATGTGTGGTGATAGCGATCATCCCTCAAATGTGCCACTTGACCGTGCTGGTATGATCCTATTCGCGATGCTGAGTGGCGGTGACTACTTGCCGTCCGGAGTTCCAAAGTGCGGGAGCAAGTTGGCCGCAGAGATTGCCAGAGCAGGCTTTGGTGCGGATCTATTGGACACTATCAGGTCCGATGGGCCTGAACTCGACATGAAACTAGATGAATGGAGAGAAAGGCTACAGTACGAGCTGGACGAGAACGAAAGCGGGTATTTCCAAACGAAGCACAAAGCAGTACGCATTCCAGAGTCGTTCCCAGATAGAACAATCCTATCGTATTACGCCAAGCCTGTGGTGTCCTCGCCACAGGATATTGAAGTGCTTAAATCCCGCCTGATGAATGCTTGGGATCAGGAAATCGATGTCCTTGAACTGCGAAGATTCACTGCTGATGCATTCGAGTGGAATTATCGTTCTGGGGCAAGGAAGGTAATCAAGTTGCTCGCAGAGCCTCTTGTCTCCTATAGACTCCGCCTGCAGAAAAGCCCGTCACCCTTTGCCCGGAATACTTCGTTGTCAGACAGCAATGTGCAAATGTTGCAAAAAATCTACAAAAGCCGAACCAGCTTTAGTACTGATGGCTTGACAGAGCTACAGTTGGAGATTGTCCCGATAGATGTGGTTGGTTTGGATCTCCTCGCTGAGGAACCTAATCCCCCGATTCCTTCCCAGGAAACCACGATTGTTTCTGGGGATGAAGAGGAGGATGTGGAAGACTATACAGAGGCTACAGTTCAGTCGCCGACTAAAAAGCGAACCGGGAAGCGTTTCGACCCCTATGCCGCTGAAAAAGTCTGGATCTTTGAGACTATTGCTACCATCGGGGTGCCTGCGGTCGTGCAGACCTGGAAAAGGGAACAGGCTGAGAAGGGTTCCGCGTCGAAGAAGTCAAGCAATCGGAAGGCAGGTCCCAAGAAGAAGGGACCAATCGACCCCGGCATGAAACGGGGCAGCATCCTCAAGTATGGCACACTCACGAAGCAGAGATCTGACATCTCAGAGTTCAAAGGCGCACAACTATTTGAGGCGGCAATGTCCGCAACTCCAAGAAAATCGAGAGCGCCAGGACTTCTGCGCGCTGAGAGCTCTCCAGACGCCTTAGTGAGGGGTTCACCAGCCTATGGCCCATACAGTCATAAGCGCATGTTGGATATTCAACCGCACGTAAATCAGACTGTTGATGATTTGGTTGACTCATTTACTTCTTCGTGCACTATATCCTCTATGCTGGACATCAAGCGACATCCGATGGCCACGCGATCCCTCATGGGGAGCCGGCGGGCGGGTGTCCGTTCTGGAGATGTTGAGGTGCAGACTCTCGACTTCTTAAGTCCTGAAACTGTCTTCAATTCCTCTCCGTCGCGTGTGTCTTCCGCGAGAATCAAGATCAGTTACTCCAATGTCAGGTACGATGACTCCACCGGTTCAGATCTATCCTTAGAAACAAACTCTGCCGTATCTCCCCCATCGGCTGGAAGAGAAAGTCGTCGGCATACGCAATCGAGACCCATCAAGACGTCAGCTAAGCGTCGAAGTGGGGTAGAAATTCAGGAGTTGGAGGACATTATGTCTGCGGTTACTCTCAGTGATGGAAGCCCTTATCAACAATTAAAGAGTTTGGCGCAAACACCGACTAGCCTCAAAGCTCGATCACTAAAAGGGCTAAAAATGCATGAAGTTCATGCTCTCGCCGCTGAAGCTCAGACAGTCCACGCGTCTCGAACGAAGGAGAGCGCCTCTCCGACCGCAAACCATTCATGCGCGAAGGGCCCCAATGTACGCTTGCCGCCAAGTGCTCAAAATACGTTGGTAATGGACCTGTGCGCGGATGATGCGCTCAAGCAGACGACGGAGAAGGAAAAGCGAGTTGTATCGAGCAGTAAAGTGTCAAGGCCTCGCAAAACTTCCTCACATATAGAATCGGTCATTGTGTGCGATGGGTTCTGGACGACTGAGGCGAAGTCCCAATCTGAGCTGGCTTCAGAGGAGACAGAGCGTGGCTCGTTTAACAGTGACGAAAAGAGAAAGAAGAAGCGCATCCCGCGTGTGAGCATTTTAGACTTGAGCTGATTTTTGCCTACTACAAATTTGACTTATCGGCACTCAAATTGGGGTGTTCAGGCGTCCATGGGGATACCAAGGATATTGGAGTCTAATTTACGGTTCATTTGGGTGTTGGTTGTTCTCATTTGGTTCTATAATTTAAGTACATATCCCTTCGTAACACATGTGGCAGTATTTGCGACGAAAGACATCATAGTAAGATTGGAGAGTATCTTCAAGCAAGCAACAGTGGAAGCGCCCATCGACGGAGAATTTGAAACAATGATTGCGGATGGCCCATCGTATATGACCATCCCAGTCTATAGGGAATCCAAGGTGTCTATACTTGTAGACCTGTCAAGGAAAAGTAACGAATCGATGTATAGAGTGGTATAAAGATGAGCTATATAAGAATGGTGAATAAGGGCATCAGAGGAAAATTAACAGGCCTGACCTCGGCATTCCTAGGAAAGAGGTATATTTCTATCAAGGTCGAATAGAAAGAGCGAGCAAAGTTAACCAAAAACTTTCAGGAAACCCCACAGCCCAATTCCACTAAGAACTGGGATAGTGAAGTTATCGTCCCAGTTGAACAGGTCCACGAACTCGCTCCCGGCGGCAATAATACCGGAAACAACACTCATGACACCCAGTGCCAACGGGCCGGAGATGACCCCGCGCGAGGAATCGGAATCGGCGGTCCAACCAAGGAGACCCCTGATAGAATCCGGAAGTAGGTTCAGACGGCCGGTGAACATGAACGAGCCCTCGGGATCGTTGGGAAAGGTCCCGACGTGGGGTACGAACCAGCCCCAGAAGGCCGCGGCGGTAACGACGCCGACGGCCCAGGCGGCCAGGGTTCCAGCAAAGCTCTTGCCCACGCGCAGTTGGAACGTGCGCCGGCCGTAGAGACGGCCGAAGGTGGAGGCTGCAGTGTCGCACCAGCTGAGGAGCAGGACGCCCATGACCGCAACGTCTTTGGGGAAGAAACGCAGAACGCTGTATGCGCCCAGCAGGTACCAGATCACGCCGTTGTAGCCCGACACTTCTGTTTCCCGCATGAGGGCGCCAACGCAGCGAATGTAGAGCTTATTGAAAGTCTCGGAGCGATGGCGGATAATGTCTGTCGCGGCGATGGGGACAAGAGCGGAGAGCAGCCATGGGGTGATTTGGAGAGTTTGGACGCCTCGGCTATACAGATAAAGGGTAAGGAAGCCGATGGAGCTATGGAGGAGCTTGCGCGGTATCTCGTGACGATGGATGAAGCTGCGGTAACGAGTGTGGAGGGGGATCAAACCCAGAGGTGAGGGTGAACGAGAGATGTCGTGCGCGCGGCCTTTGCCCAAGGCGGAACTGGGGGACAGGAAGTCGGTGGGCGATATGCGGCCGTTGGTTTTCAAAGGCTCCGGCTTCCTGGCCGGTATCATGGGATTAGATCGCCGCGTGCGAGTTGAACGAGCAGGGGCTGCTGGGCTGCGACTGCGAGACCTGATCGGCGACCGACCTGAGTCCGTATCCACGTCTTCGCCTCTCTCCTCGGATACATCTACCAGACGCTGGCGTCGCGCTGCTGACCGAGTCCTCGGTCCGGCATAATCATCCCGTGAGCTTGACTCACTCGACGGTATAGGCGAAGGAGATATGACTCGGGGAGTTGCCGGGACGTCGTCGGTAGAAGAGGAGGGCATTTCGACCGCTCTTATAGCGAAAGGCGGAAGGGCCGGAGCCGGTATCAGCCCGGACAGAGGTCGCTGGCGCAGATAGTTATAGTCGCAGACAAGCGCGTCAAGAAAGAAAAATCTGTCAGCTGCAAACGACGCAATGATGGGCGACTAGATGATGAACGAGGTGTGTGCGTGGAAAGGAAAGCTGGTTTATCGCGTGAGACGTTGGCAAACACCCAAGGCAGAAATGCGGCTGCGCATACTTCTGTAAATTTAGAGAGAGATCGGCATGGTCACTGGACCAGCAGAAGATAGCAGAGACAAATAAACAGCCGAGAAAATGAGGAGCAGTCGGTAGCTACTTGAAAGTAATTGCAAATCAGAATTTTTTATTTGAGTATTTTTGTGTTCGTCGTTGCTTTTTTCCTCTTCGTTTTTTATTTCTGTCTGGTACCTTCAGGCTTGTGATTCCGCCGAATCCGCAGGCGATCACGTGTAAATTGGCAGAAAATGCTCACCGCTTCAATATCTAATCAGTGATCTTTTGATAAGCTATTTTTTTTTTGTGCCATCAGTCTAGGCAATCGTTGCTGATCGTCGGGTCGAATTGAAGGTTTAATTCTGCACTCGGCTGCTGTCATGGCTCCAAAACCACCTTCAGGCACCTCGTCCAGAGCCTGGGATGCAGTGACACCAGCCATGTCAGAATGGGTGTTAGAGGCAATGTCCTCAATGGGCTTCACCCGGATGACCCCAGTGCAAGCATCCGCTATTCCTCTGTTCATGGCGCACAAGGATGTCGTAGTGGAGGCAGTCACTGGCAGCGGAAAAACGCTATCTTTTCTGATCCCAGTGGTAGAGAAGCTTTTGCGTCTCGAAGAACCTGTCAAAAAACATCATATTGGAGCCATCATCATCTCACCAACAAGGTAGGCAGTGATCTTAGGGCGCGCGACAGCCAGAACCGTGGAAGAAGGTCGATGCTGACTCTGTGATTAGAGAACTTGCATCACAGATTTACAATGTACTATCATCATTACTCGCCTTCCATCCTCCTTCAGCCGCTGCGATAAACCCCTCAGAAGACGACAATGCGCCTCGACCCAAGTTCCCTTCTTCTACTCTCAAAGTCGTTCCGCAGCTCCTCCTTGGCGGTTCGACCACTCCTGCAGAGGATTTGAGTACATTCCTGAAGCGGTCACCGAATGTGTTGGTCTCTACGCCTGGGCGGCTTCTGGAATTGCTTTCTTCCCCTCACGTCCACTGTCCGCAGTCCTCGTTCGAGATGCTGGTTCTTGACGAGGCCGATCGATTGCTAGACCTGGGATTCAAGGATACCTTGCAGAACATCCTGCGCCGGCTTCCTAAACAAAGACGAACGGGCTTGTTCAGCGCCAGTGTTAGCGAGGCCGTTGACCAGATTGTGCGAGTTGGTTTGCGTAATCCAGTCAAGGTCATGGTCAAGGTCAAGGGTGGCTCAGGTGTTGACGATAAGCGGACTCCGGCTAGGTTGGTACCTCTCTGCCTTATTCTTAACAGTGATCTGACTCGATTGTACCAGTCTGCAAATGACCTATCTTACGACACCCCCCTTACACAAATTCGCCGCCTTGAAACGTATCCTTTCTTCAGTTCAACCGACTCCGTTGAAAACGATTTTCTTCGTCTCTACCTGTTCGGCTGTCGACTATTTGTCCGCAATCCTCCCACTGCTGCTCGGTGACGATTTCCTGTTGATTCCACTTCACGGCAAACACCAGGCAAATGTCCGCCAAAAGAACTTCAACCGCTTCATTAACTCGCACGATCCCGCCATTCTTCTCACCACAGATGTTGCTTCGCGTGGATTGGATATCCCGTCAGTCGATCTTGTCGTTCAAATCGACCCTCCATCAGACCCGAAGTCGTTCATTCATCGATGCGGCCGTGCTGGAAGAGCCGGCCGGAGGGGTCTGAGCGTGGTACTTTTGCATCCAGGACGCGAAGAAGATTATGTTTCTTTTCTAGAAGTTCGGAAAACACCTGTTGTTCCATTCTCTCCATCGATTACTTTCTCTGACGCTGATGCGGCCACTGCCACGGCCACTGCCCGCAAGGCTGTGTTGGCTGATCGTGCGCTGTATGACCGAGGCCAGAAGGCGTTTGTCAGTTGGCTCAGAAGCTACAGCAAGCACCAGGCAAGCAGTATCTTCCGTGTCGCTGACCTTGATTGGGAAGCTTTGGGCAAAGCATGGGGTTTGTTGAAATTGCCTAAGATGCCTGAGTTGAGGAACTTCACCGGTGACAGGACACTCGGCGTGAGCCTTGACTGGGACAATTACGCATACAAAGACAAACAAAGGGAGAAACGACGGAAGGAGCTTCTCCAGGAGGCCGCCGAGTCTGGTGCCCCTCAATCCAAGCCAAATAAGAGACGGGCCAGCGAGAGTGTCGCATGGAGCCAACAAGCCGAGTCGAAGAACAAGAAGCTCAAGCGACGTGAGCAGAAGAAATCGAAGCACGACAAGGCCAGATGGGAGAAGATGACGGAGGAAGAAAAACAGAAGGTTCTTGAGACGGAGAAGATGGTTGAGGCGCTGAGGAAGAAGAACGAGGAAGAAAGACGACTAAGACGAGCAGCAGCCAAAGCCGCAGGCACGAAGGCTGATGGTGATGACGACGAAGAATTCCAGGGATTTGATTAAGATACCTCGCATATGTGCACTATATCCGTTGCTTTGGATGATCTTGATACCTGACTTGTATAGCTAAAGCCCTTCCTCAGTAGGGGAGCACCAGCCTTATACTTCCGTGTACATACAAAACAACTTTTCTGAAAAGCCTTCTCACCCTTCTGAAGATACTTTTTCTTGCCCTGTGATTCCATTTCGACTGACCCATGACCGAATACCTCAACCACTCGTAGAAGACTTCTTGTCCAGGTCAAGAACTATCTGCATTCCCTGGACAGCAGCCCTTCCCTCGCGATCGGACCCTCCAACCTTGGCGTGGTCTCTCTCGTCCTCATTTCGATCAGCTCTCACCTCCCCGTTTCCGCCATTTGATGCTTCTTCCTCCACCACAAGCCCAGCCTGAACCGTCCACGCTTCATCAACCTGCGCACCCGGCACAGTCGCACCATGCGCATCCGCAATTAACCCTCCTCCCGACTCAGCCTGCACCAGCAACGACTGTATTGACAACTCTGAAGAACAAGAGCCCTGCACGCTCTGCCCCGCCTCATCTCTTCGTCCCGCATCCCCAGCAGTCCCCAACGAGCCCATACTCTCCTCACCTATCGGAAGCAACAAATCCCCAATCGAAACCCCTCCCCCGACAAGACACGGATCAAGAGGCGTCACCTGCTGCTGCGATCGCTGAGAAGACGACGCCAACTGCGGGCCGCCAAATCCCTGTTGTTCTGGGTATCCCACCAGCCCAACCGTACCCGGTCCACCAAAACCCGCGGCCCGGCTGCACAGAGCGCAGAAGCGCTGTCCGACGCCGCGGGCGATGTACCGGATAGGACAGACTTGGATCAGGGGCGTGGGCCTTCCCGGGACAGCGAAGACGCGGACTTGTGGGCAGGGCTGGATGAGCTGGAGGTAGGTGCAGGTGCAAGGGGGTTTATTGGGCATGTAGTAGCACATCGCCTACGCTTCGGTGGGTTTGTAGCTAGACTTGGTTTCACGACGATAGTGGGGTTAATGGGTTTGATGTGTCTCTGGTGAATCACTGATGATGAATGGTAGAAGCTGGTTAGAAGGAAGGTGAGGGGGATAGAATAGCATGTATATGAATCGGATGGCGGCATGCATCCATTGTCTTGTTAACGCAATCTTCTCTTTGTCTACCGACAAAGGACGAGTATGGCTTTGTCAAAAGAATGATTCCTTCTCAAGGGTTGAGGCGGTCCTTGCAGACAAGGAACTGAACATGCCGTTAATGGATTATGAAGATCTCAGAATCAAACTCACGCAGGTGCCATCACAAAGGCAGGTTAAATCGGTCAATCGGATGCAGATAGGACAGATGCGAATACTTTTTCCATTGCCAGTTTCAATGCGAAGGCCAAGCTCAAAAGCGCCGCTGGCTACAAAGGTAAATCAAAATCTCCTGCTTATGTCACATGCTTCGAGCAAAGAAAAACAATGATGTACTGGACTCCACCGGTTGGAAACAAGAGAACAAGACAGATTCGATCTCATAAATTTCATGAAAGACCTTCGCCCGAGCAGGGCTTACAAACTCCAGTCTCAACAGTCTGGAGGAAGCCGCTGGAGGTTGCTCAGAGTATAAAACAAAACACAAAACACAAAAGACTTCCGCAATCCCGCAGAAAACACATTTACACATTGTCTGGGCCCATCACAATTCCATAAAGTAGGAAGGAGGCCAAACAGGCTATGCTCAGTAATCGGAAGATGGAAAACAAGAAAAACACAGCAACATAATAATCACACAAACCAAAAGGTATCAAGGCAAAGCAAGACCATTTAGAACCTTTCAACACCCCGATGACATGACTCCAACCTAGGCTTGAGCTTTCGTAAATTCCTCCAAACTTTGATGGAAAGCACGGTGAACTTCGTCCACAGCAGATGCGTCCCACACGCTGGCGACGATCCGCACGATCTCATCATCAACACCCAAGCTCTTCTGAAGAGTATTCGGTTCCGGCCATTTAAGCTGCTGGAGATCTCCAGTTGCGCATTGCTCATAAAGCCATTGAGCATCACGAGCGAATTGATCATCGTCGCCGAAAGTCTCGACAGGTGGTTGTTGGTTGACAACAGGTGAAGCGGTCAGAGGGCTTGAATAACGACTAGCAGTGCGGAGCCCACTAGGTGTTTTGGGTTTGTACTTTTCGGCCTGAGAACGGACTCTGGCGAGAGCTTCCTGATCAACTCTGGATGGGGTAGACGGAGGCAACGCTTGGCGTGAAGTGGGATGTGGAGCAGGCGATTGTACACTACACCGCAAAGATCAATTGTTAGATGAATGGCAATGAGGCTTGAGTCGAAGGTGGCAGCAAAATACCTTTCTTGTACTTCTGTACTGGTAGCGGTGGCTTGAGTCTCAGAGACAGACTTGGCCGATGGGGCTTTTGGAGAAGGCGCGCCGCTCGACTCTGATTCATCAGAGAAAGTATCGTAATCCAGCTGGAACGTGCCTTGTTTGTTGGGAATGAAACCTGGCGAGCGCTGGGGAGTAGACAAATCGACGCGAGCAGCGGGAGTTGGCGTTGCGGGCGCAGCGGCAGGAGAACCAGGCGCTGTCACTCGAGCAGCATCGCCCATGCTGATGAAGTGTCTTCCCGTGTAGGGGTCCGTGGCACGGGGACGCGTGCGAAGTTTAGAAGGAGTATCCTCGGGGCTGGCATCGAAACGCACCCTTTTCGATGGCCCTTGTTCCGAGCGAATAGCACTGCGAACGGCAGATTTGGCTAGAGCATCGGGTCTTGTAGGAGGTACAGCCTGCTGGGGTTGGCCATCGGCTTCCTCTTCGCTGTCAGAGCTATAGCAGAAATAATCCAGGTCCAATCCATAGCTGCATCCGGCCGGGTTGGGAATGACATCAGGCGAGGGGGACCGCTTGCGCTTCTTTTGAGTGGCGTCCTCAGTCGTCTGAGGCAAGGCCCGCTGTTCATTGACATCTGTCGCCTGAGAAGTCGATGGAGGTTGGTCTTCCTGTGCCCCAGACGGCTTCTCTGCATCATCTGGACGTGATTCTGCCTGGACGGCCTGAGAAGGTTTCTTAGGAGTAGTAGTCAGATCTCCAAGGAAGCGAGCACGGTCAATCGGAGCCGGGAAGAGGGAGTAAGACAAGGTGCGCTGGCGTTTGCTGGGCGGCTGCTCACTCAAGCGACGGCGAGAGCGTTTATCACTCTGGGTAGCATTCTGATTCGAGTCGACAGTCTTGGTGTGAGAAGGACGCTCTGGCAACGGCTGGGAGGATGACACTGGAGGCTCCTGCGCCAATGGTTGCAAAGACAGCCGTGAAGACAATTGTGAGGTTGGCGATGGCGCTGCAACTGGTGAGCCAGGCGCACGGAATCATCGACAAAAGAGGGAAAAGCAATAGGACAAGAGAACATACCTGAAGCTTCAGACGTCCGAGAGGAACGACCAAATCTTGGAAGCAAACGGGAGAAGGAACGAGGCACAGAGTTGATCAGCCCGCGGATGTTCCAACCACTTGCCTGAGGGGTAGAAGGTGGCTCGGCCGTGGGAGACTCATCTGATGGATCCTGATCGTCTGGCTTACTCTGCTTCTCGGTAGATTCGGTGTTCATCTGGAGAGGCTCCAGGCACGGCTGGACGGGGGTTGACTCCGCTGCCCGGCGGTCGGCTTCGTTCTGAGCGAGCAGCTGGGGGAGGCGGAAGACCGTCTTGTGAATCCGGCCTTGGTTCTCGATCGTCCGCCGCCGAAGCCGCTCAGAGTAGGGGGCGGCGTTGTACGTGATCCGCCGGGACAGCGGAGTCATGCGGCGCGCAAAGGGGGTGCTTCCGGGGGGTCCCACGTTCCGCCGCTTGTTGGACGACGGGGTTTCGGCCCCGTCGTTATGGGGACGTTTTCTGTTCACTTTCCGAGGTGTTAGCCGCGTTTCTTCCTTGGCGGGCTCCTTGGCGGGTTCGTGGGCCTCCGCCTGGACTCTCCGACAACCCAACAACTCCAGCAGGTAAGGAGTAGCCGAGAGAGACAACGATGGGGAGACGACGCTCTCTTTGGTGGCACCAACACCCAAGCCTGAGCGGGGGCTCATCACCTCCGACTCCTCTGGAATCGGAGAGAGAGCCACACGCGCCCATCGCGCGGAATACTTCCTCGCGGAACGGCTACCTTGACGTGGTTTGTCAACCTCCACGGCCGCCGGACGGGACTGCGAAGGGCCCGGCATCAATTCGGACACATTCGCCGACACCAACCGCCCATCACTAAAGGTGGACGTCGTACCCGACTCAGTCGGGACATCGAAGGTCGCGTCCTGCTGGACTTGACCCGCTGATGCCAGCATATAGCACAGCAACAGACTCGCGGATGCTGCCGGCGTGTCGTCGTAGGCTGTATCCACCAAGCACAATCCAGAAAAACTCTGGATCAGGGCGGCAACCTCGTTGTCAATTGACGACGACACAGCCACAACAATCGACGAAATCGGGACCTCCTCGTCGCGATCGACAGGGGACAGAGGAGACAGGGAACCTTCGCGAGAAGATTCACCTGAGGAGATCCACGATACGTCGATTGGGGCGGTGTGTTCCTCAATGACCATGGGACAGTCATCAAGTTCCAAAGAGCACTGACCGCAGACCGACATCGGCGAACGGCAGTATCGCTCTTCCTCGAACTCTATCCCTTCCATGGCCACGAGGAACAATCGCGCAGCGATCGTTGACCCAGTCAAGGCCTCCGTCACGGCAGGTGGCTTGGCGTTGTACTCCTCAGAGGACACTAAGACGACATTTCCATCGGATCCACATTCGTCGGCCATGATGCTGACCGAGTCATCTCTGGCAGCATTGTGCGCTGCAGCCAACTCCACTTGCTTGTGGCAGGCGAGGCAGGCATCAATGTCTGCCAGAAGAGACTCTTTGAGCACGAACCCGATAGGGGGAGAATCCTCCATCTCGAGGTCCGGTGTGTGAGACCGTTCCGAAAGGGGCGACCCAATGTCGCTTATGTCATCGAGCGGATCCAGATA